GCGGATGTTCTGTGTGTTTTTTCTTGGGGGGGGGGGCGCGCACCCCCACAAACATCAGCCTGGCGAAGGACCCAACCATGTGCAGCTGCGAGTGCCGCGAGGGAGATGAGACGAAACAAGGGGGCGCGCAAACTCCGAGCAGCTCTCACAGGAGGCAGCGCGCCGCAGGAAGAAGCAGGCGCGGGGCAGTGCAGGCATGGATGGATGTAAAGGGGGGGGGGCGGTTCGGGATGGTGGGCTCTCAGATGCTCCCCCTATGTGTTCTTGCGTCCTGGTGACCGCGGCTCTGGGCATAGCGCACCGCGGAGTTCCCGCGTCGCGCGCCCCATGCCCCGCAGGGGTCCTGGCGACGCGCGTGGGTCGTCCGCTGCGCGGAGCGAAGAGAGCTAGTTGGCTGGCCGGCAGCGGGCCAGGCGCTGGCCGGTGGGCACAGCGACGACGAGCGAGCGAGGTGCTGTGCGGAACGTAGCACGGAGCCTCCGCGACGCGCGTCAGTCGCCCCGAAGGAGTCCTGGCGACGCGCGCAGGTCGTCCCAAGCGCAGCCGTTAAGATGCCGCGCAAGCCCCTCTCTCCCGCGGGCGCGGGGCGCTGTCGCTGGGGTCTTCGGTGGAGCTCCCTATGGGGCCACGAAGCGTGGGATGGGTGCCGCGAGATACGTGGCGGGCACGCATGTGCCCCCCCCCAGTGGGGCTTTCGGTGGAGCTCCTTACTGAGCCACGAAACGTGTGATGGGGTGTTTCGAAATAGGTGACGGGCACGCATGTGGCCACCCCCGCTGGGGCCTTCGGCGGATTTCCCTATGGGGCCACGAAGCGTGTAAACGGTTGTGCCGAAATGAGCCGCTGGGACGCATGCGGGCGGCGCCACTGAGACTTTCAGTGGAAATCCCGATGGTGCCACGAAGCGTGTCAATTTTTGTGCCGAAATGAGCGGCTGGGGCGCGTGCGGGCGGCGCCATTGGGCCTTCGGTGGACCTGGAAAGGGGGGCCGCGATGCGTGCGATGAGCGTGCGGACATGAATGCCTGGGACGCGTGCGGAATGTGCCGCTCGTTTTTTTTGTTGCTTCCTGCTTTTAGTTCCCTTTTTTTCATGGGGACGCGAAGCGTGTGAAGTGTGTGCCGACATGAACGATCGGGGCGCATGTGGGCGGCGCCATTGGTGCCTTTCGGTGGAGCAAGCTCCTGATGGGGCCGCGAAACATACGAAGGGTGTGCCAACATGGGCGGCTGGGACGCATGCGGGCGGCGTCACTGGGACCTTCGGTGGACCTCCCTATGGGGCTTCGAGACGTTTGAGTAGTGTGCCGATATGAGCGGCTGGGACGCATGCGGGCGGCGCCAGTTGTGGCCCCCGATGGACATCTCCAGGGGGCCGCGAAACATGTGAGGGGTGTGCCGACATGGACGCCTGGGACGCATGCGGGCGGCGCCTGTGGGGCCTTTGTTTTTTATATGTAAAAAAAATGGGGCCACGAAGCGTGTGAGGGGTGTGCCGAAATGAACGGTTGGGTCCTATGCGGGCGGCGCCATTGGGGCCTTCGGTGGACCTGGAAAGGGGGGCCACGAAGCATGTGAGGGGTGTGCCGACGTGGGCGGCTGGGATGCCTGCGGGCGGCGCCTGTGAAACCTTCGGTGGGGTTCCCAGTGGGGCCGCGCACTGTGTAAGGGGTTTGCCGAAATGGGCGTCTGGGACGCATGCGGGCGGCTCCACTGGGGGATCCGGTGCCACGAAGCGTGTGAGGGGTGTGCCAGATGGTTGACATGCGCAATGCAGATGCAGGCATGGGAGGAGGGAGGAACAAGAAGAAATGAGAAAAGGATGGGAGACGCGGGGCGCTGGCTCTTTTAAGCGAGGACCCAACACCACAGGATGGGCACTGTGCAGGCGAAGGACCCAACCGTATGCAGTTGTGCGTACCGCGGTGGTACGTATCCTCTTCGGTGAAGGCCCCGAAAGTGGTGGCATGGGCGCATGTGTCCACCCCCGCTGGGGCCTTCGGTGGAGCTCCTTGTGGGGCCACGAAGCGTGTGAGGGGTGCGCCGACATGGGTGGCGGGGACGCATGTGGTCACAGCCGTTGAGGTTTTCGATGGAGCTCCCTGTGGGGCCACGAAGCGTGTGAGGGGTGTGCCGAAAGACGCATGTGGTCACAGCCGGTCGGGCCTTCGGTGGAGCACCGTATGGGGCCACGAAGCGTGTGAGGTGTGTGCCGAAATTGGTGGGGGGGGCGCCTGTGGTCACAGCCGTTGTGGTACTCGGTGGAGTTCCCTGTGGGGCCACGAGGTGTGTGAGGGGCGTGCCGGCGGTTTGGGTGCATGTGGGCACAGCCACTGGGGCTTTTGGTGGAGCTGCCTGTGGGGCCACGAAACGTGTCAGGGGTGTGCCGGCATTGGTGGCGGGGACGCATGTGGTCACAGCCGTTGGGGCTGTCGGTAGAGCACCGTATGGGGCCACGAGGCGCTGTACCGGGTGCGCAGAAATGGTGGACACGCGGAACGCAGCGGCAGGGAAGGGCGGCCAGGGGGGGAAGAGGAACATACCCCCAAAATACCCACACACACACATTACACAACACACAACACACACCACACACCACACACCACACACCACACACCACACAACACACACACAACACAGACAACACAAACAACACAAACAACACAACACACAACACACAACACACACACAACACACAACACACACCCAGACACACACGACACACACACACTCACATACTCACACTCACACACTCACACTCACACTCACACTCGCACTCACACTCACACTCACACTCACACTCACACCACACACACCACACACACACACACACGCTCACACTCACACTCACACACACACACACACGCCGCTCACACACAGACGCACACACACACACACACACACGCACGCACGCACACACACACACCACCACCCACGCACGAACACAAGACAAAGAGAAGAAAGCAAAGAAGAGTGAAGAAAGGGTCCAACAGAAAGCATAACTCTACAATAGCTTGTCCCCGAGGCCAGGGTCCTGCATTTTCGACGGGGACACCGAGGCCCACGCGAAACACTTCAGTAGAGCCAGGCCCCGCCCGAGAGCGCCTGGGAAACCGGGTGTCTGGGCCCTTCAGGATGTAGAAGTTCGGCTGCAGCAGAACAGCTGCGAGCCTTGGGGCACTCGGCTTCGCTTCATGACATGGGCATATATATATATACACACTTTACAGTACGATGTTACGTGTGTGGCGCGCGAAGTCAAAAGTCCCACACGCCTGGTCAACCCCAGCAAGGGGGTCAGAAGATTTTGTAGTATTGTTTTGTTGTGGATTTCTGCTGTGGTCTTGGGAGTCCGTAGGAAGGTACCAAGACGGCCCCCAAGATGACCTCCGTGACCATTTTGGCTCAAGCTTTTTTGGCACCGGAAGCAGCCGTTTCGGTACCCGCCCCCCCTCTCGGACGCTTCCGCAGCAGCGGCATCGGCGGCCGAAGGAGAGAGAACATGCAGTTCGCGTGGGCGGTGCTGTGCCTCCCGGCCGTCGCCGTGGCGCAGATGGCCGGCATGACCAAGGAGGAGCAGGGGCCACCCATTGTGATCGCGGAGTGCACACTGCAGGGGGGCTGCGAGGCGCAGCAGAGGGCCCTGACTCTGGACGCCAACTGGCGCTGGGTGCACGGCCAGACCTGCCAGGGCACGGGCCCCACCGCCCAGTGCTACAGCTCGGGCAACTGCTTCACCGACGGCGTGTGGGACTCCACCATGTGCCCCGACCCGGAGTCCTGCGCCGAGAACTGCGCGCTGGAGGGCGTCACGCTGGACGACTACGACAGCACCTACGGCGTCGCGGCGATCCCGGGAGGCGTCGAGCTAGGCTTCGTGCGCGGCCCGAACGTGGGGTCCCGCCTGTACGTCCTGGAGAAGCCAGACAAGTACAAGCTTTTCAAGCTCCTGAACAGGGAGTTCACCTTCGACGTGGATGTCTCCACACTTCCCTGCGGACTGAACGGCGCGTTGTACTTCAGCGAGATGGATGAGGATGGGGGGATGAAGCACTCGGGCAACAAGGCTGGCGCCAAGTACGGGACAGGCTACTGTGACGCCCAGTGCCCCCATGACGTGAAGTTCATGGAGGGCAAGAGCAACACCCTCGAGTGGAACACGAGCGCAGCTCTCGGCAAGTACGGGCTGTGTTGCGCGGAAGTTGACATCTGGGAGGCGAACTCCATGGCCACGGCCTTCACGATGCACCCGTGCACCATCGATGGCACCTATCTGTGCAAGGGCAAGGAGTGCGGCGACAACGCCAAGAACGAGCGCTACGATGGCGTCTGCGACAAGGATGGCTGCGACTTCAACTCGTACCGCATGGGCCAGCAGCAATTCTTCGGACCGGGGGACGATTTCACGGTGGACACCACGCAGCCCATGACCGTGGTGACCCAGTTCGTGACAGACGACGGCACCGACGACGGCGACCTCGTGGAGATAAGGCGCCTCTACGTGCAGGGCGGCAAGGTGATCAAGAACTCGAACGCCGGCATCCTCGGCTCTGACGGCGGGGACTCCATCACCGACGCGTACTGCTCCGCACAGAAGGATAAGTTCGGCGACCCCGACGATTTCCGCAAGAAGGGCGCCCTGAAGCAGACGGGGGAGGCGCTGCGCCGCGGGATGACGCTCGTCCTCTCCCTGTGGGACGACTACCAGTGCCAGATGCTTTGGCTCGACTCGGACGCGGGCGAGGGCGGCCACTCCACGCCGGGCGTCGCGCGCGGCCCGTGCGACAAGACCACGGGCGTGCCGGCGGACGTGCGCGCCAAGTACCCAGACGCGTCGGTGACCTACTCCAACATCATGTACGGGGAGATCGGGTCCACGTACACCGCCGGCGAGGGCGCAAAGCCGGACCAGGCCGTGGCGACGGGGTTCCCCAAGGCCGCGGCTGCGGGCGTCGCCGCGGTGAGCGGGGGCGCCGCGGCCCTGCAGCAGCAGCAGCAGCAGCAGCAGCAGCAGCAGCAGCAGCAGCAGCAGCAGGCACTGCAGCAGCCGCAGCAGCCGCAGCCGTCGCTGCCGCAGCAGCCGCAGGCCGCCCAGGCGGCGGCGGCGGCGGGCGCGGGCGCCTCCGCCGCGGGCTGCGCGGACGTGTTCCAGCAGTGCGGGGGCGACGGCTGGGCCGGCGCGTCGTGCTGCCAGGCCGGCTGCACCTGCACAGCGCAGGGGGGCCCCTCGTACAGCCAGTGCCTGCCGCCCGCGGGCGCCTACCTGTGCTCTGGCACTATCGGCCTCGTGCAGAGGAGCTCTCTGCGCGAGGCGCCCGCGCAGCGGGCCGGCGAAGGAGGCCCCGCGGCGCGTTGGGCGGCCCCGCTGGCCGTGGCGCTGCGGGCCGCGGCGCCCGCGCTGCTGCTGGCGGCCGCGGCGGCGGCGGCGTGGGCGCGAGCGCGCCGGGCCCGGTCTTCCGCGCAGCTGCGCAGCGAGGAGGCAAACCTGATGGCATCTTCCGAGTGAGCTGGCTGGACTCCATCCCTGGATCTCCCCGAGCTCCCCATGCTCGTCCTCCGCCGCTTCCCTCCTCCTCGGCTCCGTGCAGTTCAAACTGGAGCACGCCCCGCCCCGTCAGGTCGGCCCTGCGGCTCCACTTGGGGCCACCCTCGCCCCGTGAGATACGATTCGCCACGGCAGTGCTTAGCTACAGTGCCTCTGGCTGTGCGCGTGCCGGGTCAGCCGGGTGCTGTCGGCTCAGATCGGTTTCGGTGTTGAGCCAGAATTGGTTTGCTTTGCCAGTGCATGGTTCGTGGCGCGCAGAATTCGAGCTAGATCTTCTGCTAAAGAATTCGGCCTTCGTGCCCCCGATGCGCCGTTCGAGGCGCACGGTGCACTTTTTGGGGCGGGGCTGGAAACTCTATTGATGCAGTTCAGTGCGCCGTTGACAGTTAAGACGGTTGCATGCATCAGACTTGTTCACAGATCCAGGTCGACGCGTAGATCTGTGACATGGCTGATGCTTGTATGTAGAGTGCTTCGAAGGCGCCGTTTCGTTTTCCCGCTGTCACGGGACAAAAAAGCGGCCCCAGATATTGCCCCAAGACAGAGAGGTATCCCGAAGGGCCTCAAACGTACCAAGAGAGCCTGACGACAGCACACAAGAGTGCCCAGACGTTTCAAGAGAGCCCCCGGAGTGTCCCAAGAGACGCGCCGATGTGGTGAGGCCTCAGAAATTCCCAGAAAGCCCAGCCAGAGTCCCAAACGGTTCCAGGTCCCCACGACAGGCGAACCCGCCCCCGAATACAGCTCCCAAACAGCTTCTGAGAACCCGAGGGAAAGAAGAGCCCAGCGCGCTGTAACACAATAACAGCAAGGCGCCCTCACAGCTCACATTGGAATTCATACCGAGATGAATGCAGCTCCAGAGGAGGGAGGAGGTCTTTCTAGCATCCAGAACCCGGACTGGACCCTGGAAAGGAGCGGACCTACGCAGATGTCCCAAGGAAGCGCAAGAGGACACCAGAGGCTCCCACATGACTTCCAGATGGCTCCTAGAAGCTTCAATACGGGCTCCAGGGGGCTCCTACATGGCCCAACTCAGTCAACATACACCAAAGTTGACTCCAAATGGATCTAGCCAGACTGATCGAACGAACTCCACAAGATTCCAGTGGACTCCAGTGGAGTCCATTGTCTTCCATTTGACTCCATTCGATTCCACGGGCCTCCCGCAGACTCCAGAGGACTCCATTGGACCCCGTTGAACCGAATTGGGCTCCAATGGGCTCCACTGGCGTGCATTGGAATCCATCGAAATCCACAGGATTCTTGCGGACTATTGGATTCCATTTGACTCCAGGGGACTTCGTGGCATTCAATAGGACTGACTGGAACACCCAATCGACTCCATTGGCGGCAATGGGCTTCATTGGATTCCATTGGACACCATATGGCAACATACCACTCCATTGGACTCCCCATCAGACCCCAAATCGACTCCATTGGATTTTGTTGCACTACTGGGGAGGCGGAAGAGGAGGAGGAGGAGGAGGAGGAGGAGGAGGAGAGGAAGAAGGAGGAAGAGGAGGAGGAGAAGGAGGAGCCTTGCTAAGCCCTGCTGAGCCTGCTGAGCACTGCCAAGCCCTGGCAAGTTCTGCAAAGCCCTGCTAAGTCCTGGTACATCCTGCTGAGCACTGCTAGGCACTGCTAAGCCCTGGCAAGCACTGCAAGGCCCTGCTAAGTTCGTGTTTGCCCTTCGGAGCCCTGGCAAGTTTTGCTTGGCCCCGCTAGGCTCCGCGAATCCTTGCTAAGCCGCGGTAGTGCCGAGACAGCCCCGAATTCTGGATAAACCTTGCCACGCTCTGCTCCACGCTGGTGAGCTCTGCTAAGTCATGATAAACCTTGGTAAGCCCTGCTAAGGCCTGGTCAGCACCGCTAAGCCGTGCTCACCCTTGCTCAGTCTTGCTCAGCCTGGGCAATATTGGCTAAGCCCTAGGAAGCCTTGCTGAGCCTTGCTCATTATTGGCAAGCTTTGCTCTGCGAGGCCCTTGATAAGGCAGCTGCTAGCTACCGCTAAGCCCTGGCAAGCTCTGTAAAGCCCTGCTAAGTGCCAGCACGCCCTGCTGAGCCCTGGTAAACTCTGCTATGCCAGCTAAGCTTGGCAAGCCTTGCTAAGCGCTAAGCCATGCTAAGCCATGCTCGGCCTTGCCGAGCGCTGCGCAGCCCAATTGGCAGGGCTTTGCTAAGCCCTGCTGTTCCTTGCGAGGCCTCAAGCCCTGCCGAGCTTTGCTGAGCCCTGCCAGGCCCTGCAAGCGCCTGGTAAGCCTTGCTCAGCCTTCGTAAGCCCTGCCCAGGCCTTGGTAAGCCTTGCGGAGCCCTACTGAGCCTGGCAGGCATTGTTAAGCCCTGGCGAGCTCTGCAAATCCTTGCTTAATCCTGGTACGACCTGCTGAGCGCTGCTAGCCACTGCTCAGCCCTGGCAGGCTCTGCGAGCCCCTGCTAACTTCTGGTGCTGCCTCCTCGGCCCAGGCAAGCTCCGCTCAGTCCTACTAGGCTCTTGGTGAGCCCTACTGAGGCCCGGTAAGCTCTGCTAGTCCCTGCTAAGCCTCGCTAAGACTTTCTCAGCAGGTGAAAGCTTGTTAAGCTTTGCTAAGCCTTTCTGGGACTTGTTCGGCTTTGACAGGCTTTGCTGAGCCATGTTGATCGCCGCGACGCCTTACGTTCTGCCGCGCTTGGCTGAGCCCTGGTGGGCCCTGCTGAGGCTTGGAAAGCCCAGCTAAGCCTTGGTAAGCCCTGCTCAGCTCTGGTAGACGTGTTAATGTGTGTGCGCGTGCGTGCGTGCGTGTGTGTGTGTGTAATTATGTGTGTGTGGGTTTGTTCGTCTTCGCTCCCCCCCGAGAAAACAACGCGGTGGATGTTCCGTGTCTTTTTTTTTGGGGGGGGGGGGGGGGGGGGGCGCGCACCCCCACAAACATTAGCCTGGCGAAGGACCCAACCATGTGCAGCTGCGAGTGCCGCGAGGGAGATGAGATTAAGCAAGGGGGCGCGCAAACTCCGAGCAGCTCTCACAGGAGGCAGCGCGCCGCAGGAGGAACGAGGCGCGGGGCAGTGCAGGCAGGGATGTAAAGGGGGGGGGGGGCGGTTCGGGATGGTGGGCTCTCAGATGCTCCCCTTGTGTGTTCTTGCGCCCTGGTGACCGCGGCTCTGGGCAGAGCGCAACGCGGAGCTTTCGCGACGCGCGCCCCAAGCCCCGCAGGGGTCCTGGCGACGCGCGCGGGTCGTCCGCTGCGCGGGGCAAAGAGAGCTAGTTGGCTGGCCGACAGCGGGCCAGGCGCTGGCCGTTGGGCACAGCGACGACGAGCGAGCGAGGTGCTGTGCGGAGCCTCCGCGACGCGCGCCGGTCGCCCCGAAGGAGTCCTGGCGACGCGCGCAGGTCGTGCCACGCGCAGCCGTTCACATGCCGCGCCAGCCCTTCTCTCCCGCGGGCGCGGGGCGCTGTCGCTGGGGTCTTCGGTGGAGCCCCCTATGGGGCCACGAAGCGTGGGATGGGTGCCCCGAGATACGTGGCGGGCACGCGTGTGGCCACCCCCGCTCGGGCCTTCGGTGGAGCTCCCTACTGAGCCACGAAACGTGTGATGGGGTGTCTCGGAATAGGTGGCGGGCACGCATGTGGCCACCCCCGCTGGGGCATTCGGCGGATCTCCCTATGGGGCCACGAAGCGTGTAAGGGGTGTGCCGAAATGAGCGGCTGGGACGCATGCGGGCGGCGCCACTGAGACTTTCAGTGGACATCCCGATGGTGCCACGAAGCGTGTTGGGGTTGTGCCGAAATGAGCGGCTGGGGCGCATGCGGGCGGCGCCATTGGGGCCTTCGGTGGACCTGGAAAGGGGGGCTGCGATGCGTGTGATGAGTGTGCGGACTTGAATGCCTGGGACGCTTGCGGAGGGTGCCGCACGTTTTTGTTCCTGCTTTTAGTTCCGTTTTTTATGGGGAAGCGAAGCGTGTGAAGTGTGTGCCGACATGAACGGTTGGGGCGCATGTGGGCGGCGCCATTGGGGCCTTTCGGTGGAGCGAGCTCCTGATGGGGCCGAGAAACATACGAAAGGTGTGCCAACATGGGCGGCTGGGACGCATGCGGGCGGCGCCACTTGGATTTTCGGTGGACCTCCCTATGGGGCTTCGAGACGTTTGGGTAGTGTGCCGATATGAGCGGCTGGGACGCATGCGGGCGGCGCCAGTTGTGGCCCCCGGTGGACATTTCCAGGGGGACGCGAAACATGTGAGAGGTGTGCCGACATGGGCGCCTGGGACGCATGCGGGCGGCGCCTGTGGGGTCACTGTTTATTATATTAAAAAGATGGGGCCACGACGCGTGTGAGGGGTGTGCCGAAATGAACGGTTGGGTCCCATGCGGGCGGCGCCATTGGGGCCTTCGGTGGACTTGGAAAAAAGGGGCTTCGAAGCATGTGAGTGGTGTGCCGACGTGGGCGGCTGGGATGCATGCGGGCGGCGCCTGTGAAACCTTCGGTGGGGTTCCCAGTGGGGCCGCGAAATGTGTAAGGGGTTTGCCGAAATGGGCGTCTGGGACGCATGCGGGCGGCTCCACTAGGGGATCCGGTACCACGAAGCGTGTGAGGGGTGTGCCAGATGGTGGACACGCGCAATGCACATGCAGGGATGGGAGGAGGGAGGAACAAAAAGAAATGAGAAAAGGATGGGAGACGCGGGGCGCTGGCTCTTTTAAGCGAGGACCCAACACCACAGGATGGGCAATGTGCAGGCGAAGGACCTAACCGTATGCAGTTGTGCGTACCGCGGTGGTGCATATCCGCCTCGGTGAAGGCCCCCGTGGTGCCATTGGGGCCTTCGGTGGAGTTCCCCGTGGGGCCACGAGACGTGCGAGAGGTGCGCAGAAAGTGGTGGCATGGGCGCATGTGGCCACCCCCGCTGGGGCCTTCGGTGGAGCTCCTTGTGGGGCCACGAAGCGTGTGAGGGGTGCGCCGACATGGGTGGCGTCCCCAGC